AAGGTGCCATGTGGAGAATTATGTGGACATGAGCCTGTGCTTTATAAGGACATGATGTTGGAGGGTGCAGGCTTTATGGACAAAGTCATAGGGATCAGACTGAAAACATAGAACACATAGAATGAGACTATAGTGTGTTGAACTCTAACCAGGTCAGGATGCATGAAGTGGGGGTACCATTTTCAGCTTGCACTTCACTCAGAAAGTTGGTCTATCATCCCAAAGGAGGTTGTGGTGGCTCCTCTTGTGTTGCGGACGTCCAGGGAGGAACACAGCAAACAGCCCTGCACAGAGCGAGAAGTCATCCCAGGACAGGCAGTGAGAAGCCACATGAGCAGCAAATGGACAGTGCAGGAAGCTGAGAATCAGGTTAGACTGGAACCAGAGCTCTTAATGACTAAGGCTCTCACCATTTGCTCAGTGAGGAAGCCGGAGGGTCACAGCAAAGCTTTGTTCTTCTTTTCTCTTGTGTGAGAGAACATCTGAGTGCTGCGAGAAAATCCATGTAGTTCGTTAGATCACAGAATGTATGTAAGTTCACGTCCAGCAAATGCTTTTGTTACTTTAAGACAGTCTCAAGTGAAAAGATCTGGCCAGGTTCCATTGAAGTTTCGACTTCCCTAGGTCCAGATTCAGCTTCTGAAGGGAGGATTGCGGGAAGATGGCAGAGGAGGAAGCACCAGGCATCTGTCTCCACCTGGACAACAACAGCACTGGCAGAATCAGTCTGACGTAACTATTTTGGAAATCTGGAGTCTGTTGAAGATTGCAACTTCTAGCAAAAGCCTTGGGGGCAAGCTGGGGTCAATTTTAGCCAATTTCAGCTCTTAGCTCAGTTACAGCTACTCATCCTCCCCACCCCCACCACAGACACGTGGCAGGAGGCTTGAATTTGCACACAGCTTGTGGGAGCTAGGGTGGGCAAAAAGGACCCTGTCCCCCAAAATATTGGGGATCTGTGCTCTGCTGACCACAGAGGTGCAGACAAGGAGGCTGCAGCCACTGTTGTTGGACCTCCCCTCATTGGTGCAAGCCCCTCCCCCTCAGGTTGAAATGAACGTCTGGAGACTTAAAGGGTCAGAGCCCTTTCTTCATCCCAACAGTTTTTGCTTATCCTCTATTCGGAGCCAGAACTTAAAGACTAGGGCATTCAAAACCAACTGAATATACGGAGAAAATTAGAAAGTGACTGTGCATGCCCAGGGCAAGTCTCGGAAAAGACCTGAGAAGACGTTAAGTTTACACTTCAGGCTGGTCCTTGAAACAGAGACAGCCTACAATAGTCAAAAACAAAATCAAAAACAATGACAAAAAACAGCTAATCCTGGGGAAGAGGGGAGAATCTGATTTCCACAGTTACCAGCTTATTAGGTTAAAATGTCTAGTGTTCAACACAAAAATCACAAGGCACGCAAACAGGAAAGTATAGCCCATTCAAACAAAGGAAAAAAAATCAACAGAAATTGTCCCTCAAAAAGACCTAAGAGCAGGTATACTAGACAAAGACTTTAAAACAACTGTCTCAAAGATGCTCAAAGAACTAGAGGAAGATATGAAGAAAGTGAAGAAGATGATGTGTGAACAAAATGAAAACATCAATAAAGAGACAAGAAAGACAAAAAAGAAACCAAAAAAATAAAATAAAAATAAAAACACTTCTGGAGCTGAAAAGTACAATAAATGAAATAAAAAATTTACTAGAGAGTTTCAAATACAGATCTGAGCAGGCAGAAGAAAGAATCAGTGAACTTAAAGATAGGATAATGGAAATTATCTCAGGGAATGGAAGAAAAAAGATTGAAGAAAAGTGAACAGAGCCTAAGGGACGTGTGTGACATGACATCATCAAGAGGTCTATCATAAGCATGTGAGGGTCTCAGAAAGAGAAACAAAAGAGAAAGGGGCAGAGAGAATGAAAACTACCCAAATTTGATAAAAGATATGAATATAAACATCCAAGAAGCAATGATCTCCAAATAAGATAAAGTCAAACTTGTGGAAACACATTATAATCAAACTTTCAAAAGACAGAGAATATTCAAAGCAGCAAGAGAAACAAATAATCACATACAAGGGATCCGCAATGAGATTACTGTTAGATTTCTCATCAGAAACTTGGGAGGCCAGAAGACAGTGGGCAAATATATTCAAAGTGCTCAAAGAAAAAACCTGTCAACCAAGAGTCCTATATCTGGCAAAAGTGACCTTTACAGTGAAGGAGAAATCAAGATGTTCCCAGATAAATAAAAACTGAAAGAGTTCGTGATCACTCGAACTGCCCTACAAGAAATGCTCAAGGGAATCCTGCAGGGTGAAATAAAAAAACACTAGACAATCGTTTGAAGTCATAC